CCCCGTCGCGTCACCTAGGACCAGTTGCGCCCCCCCTGGGCCCCGTCACGCCGCCCCCTGGGCCCCGTCACGCCCCCCTGGGCCCCGTCGCGCCCCCTGGGCCCCGTCACGCTCCCCTGGGCCCCGTCGCGCCCCCTGGGCCCCGTCACGCTCCCCTGGGCCCCGTCGCGCCCCCTGGGCCCCGTCACGCTCCCCTGGGCCCCGTCATGCTCCCCTGGGCCCGTCGCGCCCACTAGCACCCGTCACGCCCCTCCTGGGCCCCCCGTTGGTGCCTCCTGGCCTTGTCGCGCGACTCCTAGCCCGTCGCGCCTTACCTAGCCCGTCGCGCCTTTCCTAGCCCGTCGCGCTTCCTAGTCCGTCGCTCCAGCCCCGCGACCGTCCCAGCCGGCCCCGCGACCGTCCCAGCCAGCCCCGCGACCGTCCCAGCCGGCCCCGCGACCGTCCCAGCCGGCCCCGCGACCGTCCCAGCCGGCCCCGCGACCGTCCCAGCCGGCCCCGCGCCCGTCCCAGCCGGCCCCGCGCCCGTCCCAGCCGGCCCCGCGACCGTCCCTGCCGGCCCCGCGACCGTCCCCGCCGGCGCCGCGACCGTCCCAGCCGGCCCCGCGATCGTCCCAGCCGGCCCCGCGCCCGTCCCAGCCGGCCCCTCGTGCCCGTCCAGGCCGCCCCTGCACCCGTCCCAGCCGGCCCCGCGCCTGTCCCAGCTGGCCCCGCGCCCGTCCCAGCCGGCCCCGCGCCTGTCCCAGCCGGCCCCGCGCCCGTTCTAGCCGGCCCCGCGCCCGTCCCTGCCGGTCCCGCGCCCGTCCGAGCCGGCTCCCGCGCTTGTCCCGGCCGGCCCCGCGTCGACTTCCGGCCCTTCCTCGCTGGCCCTACGACCGTCCGATCTGCACTCTCCCTGGTACGGTTCTCCACCACCTTTCACCACACTGCACTGCCCTGCTCTGCACTGCACCGCACTGTACAGTCCTGCACTGCCCCTGATGGTGGCGGAGCTTCGCTTCGACGCTGAAGGCCAGCCTCTGGAGTTCGAGGCGTGGCTTGCCGACCTCCGACGTCAACTCACTGGCCAGCGGCAGGATGGTGAACCGCGTTCCGCACACCTTGACGGTACGCTCCCCTGCCAAGACCCCCCTGCTGTTCTGCCTGCTCCTGTCGGTCCCTCACTCACCCGACTCTCCTTTGGCACCACCGCCTAGGTAACCCTGCGCTCCCGCGTCTGCGTCACATGTCCCAGCACGGTCTTGTCCTTGGTCTCCCAGGTTCTCTCCCTGCGTTTCCCTCCTCCCCAGCCCCACCTTGCACGCCTTGTGTGGAGGGTCGGCTTCGCCGTGCCCCTCACTCCTCGTTTCCCCCTACCGCCGCGCCGCTGCAGACCCTGCACCTGGACGTCTGGGGCCCCGCCCCCGTCCCTGGGCCGCGTCGCGAGCGCTACTTCCTTGTGCTTGTCGACAACTTTACTCGTTACACCACAGTCTTTCTCCTGGAGCGCAAGGCCGACGTGCCTGGTGCTCTCATCCCCTGGCTTGTCTCTGCGCGTGTCCACCGCGGTCTCCCTGTCTTGCGTCTTCACTCCGACCGTGGTGGCGAGTTTGCCTCAGGTGTCCTTGGTCGCTTTTGTCGTGCGGAGGGCATCTCCCAGACGTTCACCCTACCGGACTCCCCACAGCAGAATGGGGTCGCTGAGCGACGCATCGGTTTGGTCATGGAGGTGGCTCGCACCTCCATGATCCATGCCGGTGCACCCCATTTTCTGTGGCCGTTCGCTGTACGCTACGCTTCTCACCAGCTTAACCTGTGGCCGCACCCTCAGCAGCCGCAGGTTTCGCCGACCCGTCTTTGGACTGGGTCTCCTGATGACGCGTCTGCGTTCCACGTCTGGGGCTGCCTTGTTCACGTCCGTGCCTCCGGCACGGACAAGCTCACTGCCCGCACTCTTCCCTGCGTCTTCCTCGGCTTTCCCCTTGACGCGTCTGACTGGCACTTTTACCACCCGCCGTCTCACCGCTTCTTTCACTCTCGCGACGTCACCTTTGACGAGTCCGTCTCCTACTACCGTCACTTCCCCCACCGCGGTCCCCCGGTTACCCCCCCCCTGTTCCTGGTCACTCCTTCCCCAGTAGTCCCTGCCCCTCCCCCTCCTCCTCCCCGTCCTGCCCCCTCTGGTGTGTCCCACGTCACCCCCCTTCCGTCGGTGGACCCTGTTGAGGAGTCTTCTGACTCTGGTGGCCCTGCTGCGTAGTCCTCGCCGGCCGCCCCTCCCCCAGCGTCCCCTCCCCAGTCCCCTCCTCCACCGCCTCTGCCGCCGCTGCAGCCGTCGTTGTCGCTGCCGCCGCCGCCGCCGCAGCACCCGTTCGTTGACTCTGGGGGTGCTAGTCCCGGTAGCCCTGGGGGTGGATCCTCTGGGGGTGCTGGTGTGGAGTGTGCTGGTGGTAGCCGCGGAGCCGCTTGCAGTCCCGGTGTCGCCGTTGTGCCGCCGCAGCAGCAGTCCCCGCCGGTGTCAGCCCTTCGCCTGCTCGGCCTTCCGTCCCCTAACCCTGCGGCTGTTCCTCTCCGACAGTCTCCTCCTCTTCCCGTCTACGGCCCTGTGTTCCCTCCGCCGGACTCGTCCCCGGCCCGTCTTCCTCCTCGTTCCCCTCCTGTGTTCCCTCCCCTGTCTCCTGACCTGACTCCTCCGTCGCACGTCTGGTCTCACCGTCCCTCCCGTGCTCGTCCTACCTCGCCTGTCTTGCGCTCCCACCCTATGTTGCTTCGTTCCCACGCGTCTCGTCCTCCCCTTCTCCCATCGCCTCCTCCGTCCTCCCTTGTTGTTGCACCCCCCCCGCTGTCTGACTACCTCCGTGCCGCTCGTCCTCTTGATCCTTGGGTCCTTGCCTCTCTCGTTACCGACCTGTCTGTTCCGGTCTCGTGCCTTGACGCTCTTGTTGCTGCGGTCGCTGACTTCGCCTCTACCCGCCGCCTTGACTACGCCACCGCTCTGGTCTCTGACCCTGCCTGTCCTCCGTCTGTCGGGGGTGCTCCTGCCCTTGGCAGTGACGTCCTGGAGGACCGCCAGTTCGAGCTTGCTTTCCTGTCCGAGGCTGCTCCCCATCTCTGTTCCATGCTGCTAGTCCCTGAGGGTGACCCAGACGCTTTCGACATCCCGACCCCTCGCACTTACGCTGAGGCGACCTCGGGACCTTGGGCCTCTCAGTGGATAGCTGCCATGGAGCAGGAGATGGCATCTTGGAGATCCACCGGCACCTTCGTCGACGCAGTTCCCCCGCCTGGGGTGAACGTAGTCGATGGCCGCTTGCTCTTCAAGGTGAAGCGCCCTCCTGGAGAGCCGTCTGTGTTCAAGGCGCGCTACGTGGCTAGAGGCTTCAGTCAGCGTGAGGGGGTGGACTTCTTCCAGACCTTCGCTCCGACCCCGAAGATGACTACTCTTCGGGTTCTGTTACACCTAGCTGCTCAGCGTGACTACGAGCTTCACTCCCTCGAATTCTCCACTGCCTTCCTTCAGGGCAGCCTACACGAGCAGGTCTACTTGCGTCGCCCTCAGGGCTTTACTGGCACCTTCCCTCTTGGGACCCAGTGGCTCCTGCGGCGCCCTGTCTACGGCCTGCGCCAGGCTCCCCGTGAGTGGCACGACACTCTCCGTGCTACGCTTGCTGACCTGCAGTTCTTTCCGGCTTCCGCAGACCCCTCACTCTTCGTTCGTGCTGGCCAGACTCCGTTCTACATCCTTGTTTACGTCGACGACCTGGTCTTTGCCACAACAGACAGGGACGCACTAGCCTCCGTGAAGGCAGAGCTGCTGAAGAGACACATGTGCACTGACCTTGGAGAACTGCGCCGTTACCTTGGCTTGCAGATCTCCAGGGACAGAGCTGCGCGCACCATCACCCTGACTCAGTCACACTTGGTGCGCCAGGTCCTTCAGAGGTTCAGCCTTCAGTTCTCCTCTGCACAGCCCACCCCTCTGCCTGTAGACCACAGACTCTCCGCTCCAGTGTCTGAGGAGTCGGTAGAGCCCAGCGGCCCCTACGCAGAGCTGGTGGGTTGCCTCATGTACCTGATGACTTGCACTCGCCCAGATCTCGCGTACCCTCTCAGCATCATGGCTCGCTTTGTGGCCACAGGCAGACACCGACCGCAGCACTGGTCTGCCGCTAAAAGGGTTTTGCGTTATCTTGCTAGTACATCGCGCATGGGGTTAGTGCTAGGAGGACGTAGGCCAGTGGTCCTTACTGGACACACAGACGCTTCGTGGGCAGACGATGCCGAGACACTCAGGTCTACCCAGGGCTACTGCTTCAGCCTTGGCTCAGGTGCCGTCTCGTGGAGAGCTACCCGCTCCTCATCTGTTGCCCAGTCCAGCTGTGAGGCTGAGATCTACGCTGGTGCCATGGCGGCACAGGAGCTCCGCTGGCTGACCTTCTTGCTCACTGACTTAGGTGAGCGGCCTAGCTCTGCCCCGGTCCTGTTCGCTGACAACAGGGCCATGATCCTCCTGTGTCAGGAGCCTCGACTCGAGGGCAGAGCGAAGCATATTCAGCTGCGATACTTCCTCCTGCGCGAGCTACAGCAGCGACGCCAGGCTCGCGTAGTACACTTGGCCTCAGGTGCCAACACAGCTGATATCTTTACGAAGGCGCTTGCGCCTATAGATCATCAGCGGCACTGCGTACAACTTGGTCTAGTTCCTGTAGCCTCGCACTTGCTAGGGTCTTGACTTTGTACTGTCCTTTATATGCATACTCAGACTGGACTTGTGTCCTCTCCCAGTGGCTGGACTAATAGTGCCGCCCTGGTCTTGTTCTTGCCTTATCTCAACTCCGTCTGACTGGTCTTTTAGACCCTTGTCTCAGAGTTTGGACTAGTAGTGCCGCCCTGAGCTGCTTGTTCAGGTCATTCCCCTATGCAGTCTAGGGGGTGTGTCAAACATAAGTATAACTCATGTTTGTATAGACTGTATAGGGTCGCCTCTTAAAGGGTACAACACTCTTAGGTATATACCCTTGTACTCTCTCTCTATTCAACAATTCTTCAGTTCTAAGAAGCGGCTCTTGTTGCACAGCATGGGGGAGGAGGAGAGGATTATTGAATACATGAATAGAGAAAAGAGCTACAATGATGAGCTAGCAGCAATGGGAGAAGCGGAGATTGAAGAGCGGATGATGGAATATATTGGAAATGGGCTGCCTAAGTCATGACAGTCGGAGAAGGGGGGGCTGATCCTGCACCCACCCACAAATCTGACGCAGTTGGAGGACAAGCTCCAAGCAATTGAAGTGATGAGAGCTGAAGGAAAGAAGGAAGAAGAGGCATACGAGGGCGGACAGGAGCGGCCGGGTATGGTGAATGCAGCAGCGTCGTTTCGAAGGAGATTTGGAGCATGCTATTATTGTGGAAAAAAGGAGCACAAGGCAATCCATTGCTATGAGAACCCGAGGAGCAAAAACTATGAAGGAAAAGAAGGAGAAAATGATATGGGGAAGATAAGTGCAGCTGAACAACAACAGCCAAGGGGCTTTGGAGGTAACTGCCATTTCAGCAACAAGTATGGGCATCGAGCAGCAGAGAGCTACTCCAATCCACATGGGAGAAATTATTGGGACCAAGTGCAGCAGCAAGGGAATGCGGCAGCAAAGGCAAATGTGGCAACAGCTGAGGAGGAAAAGGAGGGTGTTATCCTCGGCGGGGCTGATCATGCGAATGTGGTGCGTGTATAACTGAGGAGCAAGTGAAAGGAGATAATGCAACGACGAGGATTCTTGATAGCGGCAGCACCAGGGGCACTTGTCGACTAAGAGGAGGGACGCATCGAAGGCGCGCGGACGACCGCTTCGCCATGCGACGACGCCCGCGCGACCGTTTCGCCGTGCGATGAGACGCGGACGACCATCCACCCCACGCGACGATGCGCGAGCGAACGACCATCACGCCGTGCGACGACGCCCGCGTGACCATCTCGCCGTGCGACGACGCGCGGACGACCATCCAGTTGTGTGTGGGACTGTCTCGCCGTGCGACGACACCCGCGCGACCGTCTCGCCGTGCGACGATGCGCGAACGACCATCCCGCCTCACGACAACGCCTGCACGACTGTCTCGCCATGAGGAGATTGAGATAAACAGTAAACTAGACGACGCGGCATGACGGTAGCACGCCACTGCATAGATCCTTGCTGCCAGGTAATCGTTACTTAGTCACTCGTATCTGAACGAAGGAAACACAGCAACGAAGAGTCACGTTTTTCGGATATGACAACAACGAGGAGAATGAGAGCGGAAGAAGGAATTCGATCGGCAGGCATGCAGCGAAGGATGGCGACTGATTGGTTTTGGGGGAAACAATTTGAGCGACTACGTGAGGGCGAAGAAATCTGGTGGGGAAGGAATTGGTTGGCGAAAGCTATTTGGCGACAGTAATTTGGCGAGCATAGAATGAAACGAACCTTGTCCAACAGTCGTCTGCTGGTATCCCATCACTTTCCGTCGCACATCGAAAGAGGTCGCACAACGCAGGAAGGCCCACAGTCCATCGGCAAGTCGCACACTACACCACACCGAGTTGGATTTGGCTCCACGGCTCCACCAGGCACAAGCGCACTAATACCGTGTGGTTACCACAATCACGCAGAGGAAAAAAAACCGAAGCACGAAAGATAAACGGAGTTTGTTAGCTCAGGTGAGGAGAGAGCGACTCAAAGCAGCACGAAACCGTCCTGCCACTCACCAAGGCAACTCCGATACTGGAGTCAAGAGAGGCACGCGGGCACGTGTTCATCGGGGTCAACAACACTTCTGCGCTCGTCAGCAGTGTCTCCCCGTGGGGTCGATGGTTCACGCGGGATTGAGGAGCCAGCAGCAGCCAGATATCACCACTTGCATATTCCCTTGCCGGCATATGTTCACGCAAAGAGAAATTGAAGGCACGAGAGAGAGAGAGAGAGAGAGAGAGAGAGAGAGAGAGAGAGAGAGAGAGAGAGAGAGAGAGAGAGAGAGAGAGAGAGAGAGAGAGAGAGAGAGAGAGTAGCAAAACGAGAGCTGCCTCAAACAGCGGGAAACGGATAAGTGACACACTATGCGGCGGACGCCTACTCGCCCCCCCTTCAGCTAGTTCCAACCACTTACCATGACGATTCTTGAGAGGATCGTCAGCGGCGGAACAATTGTAAACTGCGTAACATTAGCGGCGGAATGGTCAACGGCGGAAAGATCCTCTCCGATCACGGGTTGGGAAGCCATGCCCGTCACGATGATGGTTGCGACGCTCGTGACGGTAGCGATGGCAGCGACGAGTGCGTGCGTGCAACGGCATCAATGTCTGATGAGGCAGCAGCCGTACGTCGCCACCCGCAGGCGCAGTCACATGCACACGCACGGAAAGAAGAACGGAAAGTGAAATAGAAAGCCCGAAAGAGAGAGGAGTTAGTAGCAGTAAGAGAGAGACGACTCAGCAAAAGGAAACGGATTGGAGACGCGCTACGGCGGATGCCTACTCGATCCCCCTAGAAGTTTTTTCCCCATCACTTACCGATGAGATTTTGTTTAGAATCGTCGGCGGCGGAATTATCCTTTCCACGTCACTCCAAGGACAGCATGTGAAGCCTGACGCCATGCTCGTTACGGGGATTGCTGCGACACAGGTGACGGTTGCGATGGAAACGACGACAGTGACAAGGGTGATGGCTGAGTCGGCGTCATCGCAGATCGTACAAGAAGCTGCAAGTCGGCGAAAGAAAAGAAGACAAACAGTTCAGGGTGAACATCGCAGGAACAATCAGTAATTCCGCGTACTAGCTCGGTTACGAAATGGCATGTTGGCAAAAAGCAATCGTAGGAACCATCGATTCCGGGTAGAGGCGCTGCTATGAATGAAAAAGGGAGAGCAATCAAGACAACGACAAGAGACTGAAGAAAGGACAACGAATGGTTAACGGTTCTCGTTAACGTGATCCCTACCGAAGAGATGACGCGGTGCTCGATGGATGGATCGGAGCCTCCCTTGAGTCCCTCGAGTTCGATCAAGGCATGGCAGACAGCAGCTCTCCACGGCGGACGCCGCGGGCAGTTCTTCGTCGCGAGCGGTTCTTTGCAGCGAGCAGTTCTTTGCTCTGCGTTATTCCGACGAGTACTTCGCGATGTGTCTCGTGCCTCTGGTAGCGTAACAGAGCGAATAGCAAGGAAGCCGTGGAGCTAGCTTAGGCGGAGAGCCACTAGTGCAGAGAGCTACCACCAAATCTGATACAATTCCTCTAGAATGAGCGTAGCGAGAATCTAGATTGACCGTGGGGAGAGAAACTCGAGGAAGTGGAATGGGCGTTGGAGGGAGCACGCGGTGGGTGAGGCTGAGCGAACGGGCCTGGTGGGAGGGAAAGACCCCCAAAATCGCCGATGCTGGCTGATGGTTGAAAGCCCACCGACCGACTATTGGTCACTAAATGAATTGAATTCGTATCCCCAGCCACCGATTGGTCGCTAGGCGAATTGAATTCGTTTCCCAGCCATAGATTGGTCACTAAACGGATTGAATTCATTCACAGCAAACCTAGTCGCAGCTGGTTCAAGCCTGAGAAGGTGAAATAAGCAACGCGATGTGATTCACACGAGCCACACGCTTTCCCTTTTCACTGCCAAGGCTCGAAAGTTCGCGGCAAATAGACCTACCGGCCTGGGAATGCGGTTCAAAGAACGTTCAACGAGCCTGGGGGGGAGGTTCGACACAGGCTTTGGTGGTCCAGATGAGTTGAGTTTGGGGACGAAACCGAATGGCTGAGGTGAACGGCGGTTTGACGAGGCAGACAGACCTAAAAGTGGGGTCAATGCGACTTGGAATAGCGGCGGCCATGGCTGGGTTGGATGTGTGAGAGCTGAGCAGATTCAGAAACGCGGAAGGCGAAAGTCGAGAACACTCCGGTTTTTGGAGGGAAAGGAAGGGCTTTGGAAGACGAGCAGCGTACCCGGTACAAGCACAAGAGTGAGTACACTCGGACGGTGCTTCAATATACAGGTTTACCAACAGACAGAATTGTGCATGAAGAAAGTTTTAGCTTCCTAGGTACCCCTCTCAACCCCCTCCCACCACACTCCTGCAATTTCGCTTGTGTTCCAGGGGGGACTTCAGTTTGTTAACCTGATTCTCCATTCCAGTTCACCTCAATTGCGGCTGGTTCGACCCAAGTACACCGCCGTCGCAACTGCGGAAAGCCTTTCACTAATCTCGCTTTCGCAGATGTGTCACACTGAGCACTTCGTGAGGTTCATTTCAGCTAAACTGACGAAGCCAAGTGTGTGTTGGGCTGAGAAAAAACCCTTGGGATCTTTTGCAGAGACTAAGTCCCAGCTGTAAAGACTTGAGACTTGGAGTAGTGCAGCGGAAGTTGAGACGGTTGAACCCTTGTACTAGTATGTGAGAACAAGTGATTGATTAAAGAAACAAGCATACAGCAATATATAGAAGATAAGAAAGCAGTTGTAGAATACAGTTACAGGAACGGTTTATCGAGTCGCACAGCGACTCGATTGCCGCTTCGGTTACCATCCGTGATGTTGTAACGGTCAGTCGCAACCTCCAGTTGCGACCTTTCGAGTCCTTTCGCATTCTTTGTCCGCCCCCTCGTGTAACCTCCGTTGACTCGCGTGCTCCCCTGTAATCTTCCTCGAGTACAGTGTTACACTTCAGAAACGCTTAAGTCCTTGAGATATTTCCAACACTCCCCTTCGTTTCTGGAGTGCTGGAGTGTTCAGATCCGGTGACGTTTGTTTGCCCGGTTAGGAGCATGCAGTAGTCGAATTTTGCTTTCGCCAATTTCTTCGTCAGATAATCTGCGGCCATTTCTGTCGTCGGGCAGTAACTGAGTTGAAGTCTCCCCTTCGCGATTTCATCCTTGACGAAGAAGTACCGCAGGGCGATGTGCTTGGTTCAGTTGGCGAAGCCGTCCTTGTTCGCGATTTTTATCGCAGATTGGTTGTCGCAGAGGAGTGAGAAGGTGGGCAGGGTCGCGATCTTCGCTTCTTCGAGTAACTCTCGTAGGTAGAGTCCTTCCTTGGTCGCAGTACAAAGGGCGATATACTCTGCTTCAGCCGAGGATAGTGCGATTAACTCCTGCTTGCTCGACTGCCAGGAGATAGTTCCGATAGGTTCTAGTCGGTAGATGTAGCCCGTCCTAGACCGTCGATTTTCGCTGTCTCCCGCGTGGTCGGCGTCGACGTATCCGAGTAGTCGTACGGACGGTGTTGTTGCCTTGCTGTAGGTGAGCCCGATCGTCGGCGTGGAGACGAAGTAGAGTAGCGCTCGATTGAGTTCTTCGAGATCTTCCTGTTGCGGCTGCTTCAGATGTGTCGCCAGCTGACTCGCACTATAGGATAGGTCGGGTCGGCAGGTTACTGTTGCGAATAGTAGGCAGCCGAGCTTCTGTTGATACTCCTGGATTTGTTTCGCGGGGAGTTTTGTGGAGGCGCTACTGTTGTTCCCGAAGCGGTAGGGAGTTGGGACCGCAGTCGGTGTTAGACCGAATTTCTTCGCGACGGTGCTTGAGTACTTTCCAGCGTGTAGGTAGAACGCCGTGTCGTCTTCGACGACGTTCAGTCCTAGGTACTGCGTCACCTCGTCGGACACCGTGAGCGTTAGGTCCCTTTTCAGCTCCCCTTCGAACCAGGTGACGATGTCGGTGGTAGAACCGATGTAGAGCAGGTCGTCGACGTAGACGATGAGCAGAATGTAATCTCTTCCCTTCTGTAGTCGGTACATGCCTTGGTCATGTGGTAACTGTAGGAATCCGATTTTTACGAGCCGGCCGTGAAGGTGCTGCTGCCAGAGCCGTGGGGCTTGCTTGATCCCGTAAAGGGATTTTTCCAGCTGGCATACTTTTGAAGGGTCGTCGATGAATCCGTGGGGTTGTTCGACGAAGATTTCGGCGTCCACAGGTGCGTACAAGAAGGCGTTTGCAACGTCGATTTGCCGTAGTGGTAGTTTCTTCGTGGCCGCGATGGCGAGTAGGATGCGCAGGGAGGTGTGACGGGAGACTGGAGCGAAGGTTTCTGTGTAGTCGGTTCCGTATCGTTGATCGAAACCTCGTACGACCCATCGAGCTTTGAATCGTTCGATGGAGCCGTCTGAGTTGGTCTTGATGCGGTACACCCATTTCCCCGAGAGAATGTTCTTCCCGTTGATGCTCGTTGCAGGTACCAGTTTCCATGTTTCTCGGTCTTGCAGAGCTTTTAACTCTTTTTCCATCGCTTCCTTCCATTGTGCCTTATGTTCCCCCCCCAGAGCCTGCGACAGGGTCGACGGCTCGCGCGGAGAAGGCGGCGGCGGGTGCTGGACGGAGACCCATAGTCCTAGGATCTGCAGTCCCGTGGCTGTGTGTCGAGGGGAGTTTTCATTCTCGGGATAAGCTGCTTCATCACCGTCTTCAGGATCGGGTAAGAAGTTTGGCCCGATGCGTTCGGAAATATTCGAGTCGACGGGGTGTGGTGTAGCGTAGCCTTGGTCAGCGAAGTGGTAAAAGGTGTCGAGGTTGTTGCTATCGAGGGGATTATCTTCATCGAGTGGAACAGGTACGGAGCAGTAGGGGAGTGGTCCGGCAGCCTCCGAGGCTCCTGGGACGTCTTCTTCTGCTGCGTCAGCCTCGGCAGCATGGTCAGCGAAGGAGCGAAGGCCCGCGAAGCCGTCGGTGGGGTCGTCTGAGTTGGCAATGTTGTCCAGGTAATGCTGCAGCGTCAGTCGCTCGTAGAAGATAACATCACGTGATGCCACCGTATTTTTGTCGTGTATGTCGAGAATCTTCCACGCGTGAAAATGTTTGGCGATGCCGAGGTGTAGTCCCCACCGAGCTCGTTGAGTGAAGCGTCCTGCTCGAGCTGTGTGGGGTCTGTATTGTACCATGCAGCCGAAAACTCGAAGTAATTTTGTGCTGCCCCTTTTTCCCGTCCACAGCAGGTGCGGTGATGCGTTGTTGGGGAGCGATGACGAGGACAACAGGTTGTGCAGGTGGACTGCATGTGTCATCGCGTCTGGCCACAGTGTATTGGGCAGTCTCATCCCCAGGAGCAGCTTTCGCATCGTCGTCTGCAAGGTCCGGTTCATGCGTTCGGCGACCCCCTGCTGCTGGTGAGCGTATGGTAGGGACACCAGGCGCTTGATTCCTCTTTCCGCCAGATAGGTCCTGAAGCGTTGTGACTGGTATTCTAGGGCACCGTCTGACTGGAAGCTTTTGAGCTTGGTTCCTGATTCCCGCTCGGCGATGGGGAGCCATGTTGTGAAGGCGTCGAAGGCTTGATCGCGCGTCTTGAGGTTGTAATGCCAAGTGTATCTTGTTGCTGCATCGACGAAGGTGATGACGTAGTTGAAGTCGGCTTCCGTGTCGTCTCGAGGCATGTTCAAGATGTCGCTGTAGACTTTTTCCATCGTTGCATATGCAGGCGCGCTTGGATTATGATGGGATGGGAAGGGTTGATGAGGAAGATCTGCTTCGGGGCACGTGAAGCATCGTGCTCTTGGTCGGCGAAGTTCTTGGCCGCTCGTCGTTAGAAGGGCGTTACGTTCTAACACCTCTGCTTGGATTGTTTGAAGTATTGTGCTGTTTGCAGGGTGTCCGAGGCGTTGGTGCCAGATGTCGTCGGGAGCACGGTGACCGGGCGAGCGGTGGTAGATGTCGGCGTTGGAGAAGAACGCGACGACCGAGGCGGGACTTCGACAAGCTTCTCGTGTGGCGGGCATAAGTTGGTCTGCCTCCGTTGGCGGTCCTCGTGTTGATGGTGGTGGTACTCGGCTGGGTCCTGCTGCCGATACTGCAGGTGATGGTTTTGTTGGGACACTTGCGGGTACTTGTCTTTCTTGTCTGATAACTGCTAATGCTCGTGTTCTCTCTGCTGCAGGTATGGTGTTGGAGTGCCAGAAGCCGTCACTGTCGAAGTCGGGATCAAGATCCGGCGGGTGAGTCCAGGCGGCGAACGATACGATGCCATCGCTGTCGGCAGTTCCGCGGTCGGGGACGAAGTCCAACACGAAGACACCGGACTTCAGGAGGGCACGACCGATGAAGAGGCCGCCCTTCCCGTGGTAAAGTCGGAACTCGTTGGAGAAGGAGTCGCACTCCAGGTGAATCCCCTTAGCCATTAGTTGGCTTACGCTTAGTAGGTTGTATCCCAGATTGTCGACGATGAGGACTTTGTTGAGCTGAAGAATAACGTTTGTCTCCATTGATTGTAACTGAACCACGCCTTGTCTGTTTGTTTTCAGGTTTTCGTTGTTGGCGACGGTGATGACGACGTCGCGGTTGAGGCGTCGCTCGTGTTGTACGAAGCGTCCGGAAGAGCACATGTGCTGACCGCAGCAACTGTCCAAGAACCAGGTGTTCCGCCCGGTGGGTTCGGCGTTAGCGACTGCAGCGTATGTCGGGTTGACCTGAAGTCCTTGCGAGCGCGGCGGCGGGAATTCCTCTTCGTCTGGTGCGTAAGTGGGTGGTGAAGCGGGTGCGCAGTTGTCGATGTGTACCATGCAGTTGATGATGTTGGGTGTTTGTTGTGCAGATGTTGAAGAGCGCCTTGGAGGACTTGCTTGAGTGGAAGCGACTTGTGGGTCTGCTGCACGGTAAACGCGAGGGCGGTTGCAGTTGACCTTGGAGTGCCCGGAAGTCTGACAGTTGTGGCAGAACGGCGGCACGATGGTGAGTCCTCGGTTGTCGCGTTGATCTTGCTTGCTGCGTCGGTTGTAGTTGTTGTCATTTCTTCTTTGAGTGTAGAAGACTAACTGCTGTTGCTTCCTTGGTTGTCTTTCCTCGAACAGATCCATCTCCTGTTGTTCAGCGTGAAGCTCGGCGCAGAGGTGCATCTCCGAAATTCTTCCGTGGGCTCGAAGAAGTGATCGTGTGGTTCTCCATTCTG